AGACCAGTGAAGAAGTTCTGCAGCTGAATTTTCAAATTCTGATGGTGACTGTAGTTGGCCTACAGCAGAAAGAAGCTACTTCTATTTTTTTTGGCCAAACTTCAGACAGTTTTAAAGGAGTCATTGTTGGCCTTTTGTCTTGGTGGCCAGACCATTTAAGTACCTGAAAATGTCAGCCAAGTATAGAGCGATTTGCTGAGCCTGCTGAAATCATACAGTTGGTCTACAAGGTTGAACTATGAATCCATGAAAATTGTTCTCACCTCATAATGCAAATGAAACAGATGAGTGAGAACTTTTCCATAAGAGAGTTATTGCACTTCTGTGTGTAATGGAAGCTGGCATTGTTCACGCTATATCCTTGTATAAAGATGAAAACAGGAGTGTTTGTAAAGGTGGCACTTGATATAGTTCATCTTTCCGACAACTCAATCCAACACAGACATTTCCTTTGCGACCAATCCTTGGCGACGTGTGTACCAGAGCCTCATCTTTGCTGGAAACCACAAACTGTTGTATTAGTTGTTAAAGGTTTGCAAAAGAAAACTTATCCTTGATTTTGCCATCACAGTCAGACGTAACCCATTTTCTGTCGTCTATTCTGTGCTAAACTGTATTATTAGACTGAGAATCAAATAGAGTTGGTTGACTGCTTTCTTTGCCAGCATAACACTGACCATAGCTTTGTCAGCAGGTAAAATTGCATCCTCCCTGATTGCATGTGGCTTGCTAGCCATTACTTTTTCTGAGGCTTTAGAGCTTCTCCTTCAGCTTATTTTCAAAATGATTATTGGTGGCAAACTGCTTAGGTTTCAGATTGGTTGGTTTATACGGAGCCCCCGAAAGCAAGGGTGTACAATCCTGCTCTTGGAGGGCCACTTTCCTGCAGAGTTTAGCTTCAACACACCTGCATGGAGGTTCCTAGTTATCCTGAATAGCTGGTTTAGGTGGGTTTAATTTGGGTTAGCGCTGAACTCTGCTGGACAGTGGCCCTCAAGGAGCAGGATTGGACGCCTGTTGTCTAAGGGACATGGTGTCCACTTCTGCTCCTGGAGGGCCAATGTTCTGCAAAGTTCAGCTCTAACCTAAATGAAACACCTCAACAAGCTAATCAAGGTTTTCAAGATCACTAGAAACTTCCAAGCAGATGTGTTGAAGCTAAACTCTGCGGGAAAGTGTTGGGGAAAGTGTTGGGGAAAGAAGCAGGTTTCAGGAGCAGATTTTGGCACCCCTGCTTTAGGGGCTTTGTAGGTCTCAAAGCCTCATTGGCTAGCAACTTTAGCTAAAATTTATATATATCTCACTGTAGCAGAGATTAACTGCCTGTAATTAATAAAGGCCTGAACTGCAAAGGCCTGGGTGTAGTTTATTTTACCCGTTCTGCTCCATCTAGCACACAGTTGAGTGTACAAGCCTTTCAAACTATACTTTATTGATTTGAGCACTTGAATCATTCATAAATGGACAACTGTGTATGGACAAGTCTGCATATCCACAGAAATCGAGCTGCACGTGGATGATGTATTCTCAATTGATGCATTGTGAAATGTTATTCCCTTTTCTACATTATGTGTCTCTTATAAATCCTCTTATGATTTACCTATAGACCCAGCAAACACAATTTATGCGTCCACATATTGAAAACGCAATTGAAAATACAATTTGCTATTCCTTTTGAAAATTGTCCGGAATATCGTTCCATAAAATACAGATTAATTGCACACATCTGAGTAATACCAGAGATAAATTGTGCTAGATTTTGTGGTTATGAGCTATGATACTATTCTTGCAGTGTGCCTCATGCAGGTGTGCAGAATAGAGATTTCCAGGATAATTTTTGACATCAGCTAACAGTTGCATGGATGATGACCACCCATATCCAGCAGCTCCTCAGGGCTGATAAAATTATGGTAAAATAGTAGTCAGACATTCTCCCTGATAAGGAAGCTATAGCTTACTTGCCTTCCGGTATTTTCACTAATAGAGAAGGCTTTTGGGTCATTGAGGTTATGTACAGCAAAATGGAGCTGTCAACTATCAGTTGGTTTACACCTTTTAAAAATTGAGCCTAGCAATTGGTGACCATGTCCTTAACAAATTTCATATTCAATGGTAGTTTTTGTTTCACAGAAATCCATACTTATTTAACTTGAACTGGCTTTGTACATGTTCTTTCTCCAAATGAGGTTTGACCAAGGTTATCTGCCACATGATCATGTAGTTAACTTGTATCAGATTAAGTGGATATTCTGAAGACACAGCCACAATTCATTGAATCATGGTTTCCTGAAGCTAAATAACAAGAAATTCTGAAAATGAAACCTAAAGTGAAGACAGTAGTAGTCTGGTCTGAATTTAAAATCTCACATTGATCATTCAGACTGCACTTAATCTTTTTATTGCAGGAACATTATACTATAATCAACCTTTTGCCATATTTAAAGCAATGCCATATTTACTCTTTACAAGATAATACCAAATTATTTAATGAAACCCATAAAAGTTAGTGCTATTGACATGGATGATACTTCATATTGTGTTGCATATTAAGAAGAGTTTTAAGCAATCAGACTTATGTTTTTGCCTAGTGGACGATAAAATCCCTTAAGCCAGTGGTTTCCAAACCTGGTCCTGGAGTACCTCCAACAGTACTTACTTCAGCTGTCTCTCTCAACTGGCACAACCAGTTCAGGTCTTGAAGTCCCTACAAACGAGCTGATGAGTTGAATCAGTGTGTTTTATCAGGGAGAAAGTGTGTAGAGTTGGGGATACTCCAGGACCTGGATTGGGAACCACTGCATTAAGGCACAGTCACATTCGCATGTTTTTTATGACAAAAAGGTCCATTGTCCACTGTCAATAGTGTAGTGATGCACAAAGTACTACTCACACAGAAATCACTTTTAAACCAAGCAGCCTTCTGTTGGTCAAGGTGTCAAGTTCACATGAAAAGCTTGAATCTGATGCAAAATCTCCATGCCCTTACACAAAATTCCTGAAAATGCAATGTTCTTCAAGACTTACATTGAAGGAGGGATCTGAGTCATGTCTAGAAGACCAGAATATCATAGAGATTTGGGGGTTAACCACCGTAGCAACTGCATAGCAACACCCTGGCAACCATCCACAATACCTTAGCATCCTATCAGCAATATGCAAGTGCCTTCAGAAAATGTGATAATCTAGTGTGACAGTAAGGCATGTTTAGAGTTTATCTACAAATCACTTCTGGTTTGTAACAAGGCAACTAGCCGATACTGGTTGCCATGGTAATCTTGAGTATGAGTAGGACTTGTGCTGTAAGAGAGGCCACAGGTTATTTTTGTGTGTGTACTGTGATTCAGACTATACCAAGAGCTGCTGACATCTCTTCCCAAAGTACACTTGCACCACTTCTGCCTAATGATTTTGTACCAAAGCAGCAAAATAACCATGTGTGAAAGCGGCAGTTAACCAACCAAACACCAGATCTGTAGTGTAAAATAACCAGACGATCAGAAAGGATGTTATTCCACAGAAAGATCATTGTGTTTTTTTTTTCAATAAATGGACCTAAAGGTGCTTTGAGGAAAAGGGAGAGGGAGTCGAGAGTTTCCTCCCACGTACACACGCAGGAAGTCACTACTGAGCAGATGCAAAGTGTCATTATGGGCCTGACTTATTCGTGCTGAGGTAATGCAGCAGACCACATTTTGATCCAGACGAGAGATTAAGTGCGAATGAAATGTTTACACAGCTATTAAGATCAAGACACTTGACACACTCTCACACAAAGGCACGTCCTCCTTGTTCATTTCCGCACCGTGATTCCTGACCTCTTCTCGCCGCGTCGTGAGGTTTAGAAGCCAGTGACCAAAGAGCACTAAAAAGGATGAGAGATCACTCCAAACATCAAACATCCTGGAAACAGAAGGAGGAAGCAATTTAATTAGGCCATGGAAGAATTCAGACCAAAACAAAACAAGCAAGAACAGTTTGTGCGTATTTTTGCGCGCACAGGAATGTGTGTAGGCTGTTCCGTTTTTACCATATAGTGATTGTATACGTCACTGGTAAAGCTCACTTGTGTTTGTTTGTAGCAAAAAAGAGAACTTTGAATGTGGAGGATTTATTGAAGGTTGAACTCCTCTAAGTTTGAGTGAGTAATACAGAAGAACGTAGGAAAGGGGGAGGAGAGGGAAGAGATGAGAGGAGGTTACCTGTAATAACAACCCTGGAAATGCTAAAAAGAGAGAGGCTGTGTTCTAAATGGCCTAATGCGTACTGTGCAGTATATACTGCACACTGCCTAATAGTTTTTAAATTTAGTATGTGAAAGCTAATGCATTATGCATAAACATTTTTAAAAAGAGATGTAAACTGCTCACCTTTTAGACGAAAATTACTGTTTTGAAAGCAAAAACGGCCACCTTCGTAATTTGTGGAGATCTATCTATCTATCTATCTATCTAT